AGTCAGTAGCAGTAAGTTTGTTTTTTTAAATGTGCTGGTTTAAAAACATGTACCTTTTTTTTTTTTGGTCATGGAAGTCTCCAGGCGTGAGCATATTAAAACCCTATATTCACTGACGTAAACATAGATTTGGCCCTTTAAAACCAGTTCCAGGAAAAGCTGTAGGCCCAGGGAGGGAAGCAGGGAGAGGAAGGGAATGGGAGGGCACCCATCAGGGAAGCAAGAACCTGATCATATGTGATGGTTGCTGGATTAGGTAACAGCTCCTCTGGTTGAAATTGGATCTTGGAGGATGAGTGTTAACATCTCTGGTGTCCTGGAGAAAGGTTCATTTGAGTCTTGCATGGTACTGCAGAGATAAAAGGGAGCTTTTAAATAATCATTTTGTCTCTCACTCGCCAGAGTACAAGCTTCAAGCAATAAATAGGTAGCATCAATTCAGCTTAGACATATCACCCTTTTCATTTATTTATTTAATGTTGGTTTTTTTTTTTTTTAACTGACTAGCTGAACAGGTTCAGTGTTGGTGAATCCTAACACCCGTTTTTATAGTGGAATGTTAAAGAGTTCCTCTCTGGGTATATATGCGTGTCTGTGGCTTTGTTTGTCCATTCTTTAACCCCCTTAGATCATACGGGCATAGCTTAAGTCTACAGAACCAGAATATTCTATGTAAAATAGTGAGAGATGAAGGTTTCCTTTAAAGGTTTCAACCTCTCCTTTATAATGTTCCTTTTTTTCTTTTTATGTCCTCACACATCTCTGACTTATTTTTTTATTATTATTATTTTCACATTTTTAAAATTTAACAAGTAATTTATAAAACAGATATCCTCCTTATATATATTGCCTTCCCATTCACCCAAGTTAATATGTGTCATAGTGCCTAAGGCATATGACTGCTAACTAGAAGGCTGGCAGTTCAAACCCATCAGCTACTCCTCAAAGGGAAGTTTGAGCAATCTACTTCCTTAGAGATACCACCTCAGAAACCCAAGGAGGGGTCACTATGAGTTGGGGGCAGTGAATTTGGTTTGTTTTTTTAACCCTCCAGTTAGTGGTTTACCTCTCTTCCCCTTCTACCCCTGCTAACTGTCAAAGAATTATTTCTTTTTGGGGCATACACCTTTTCTTGACTTTTTATAATAGTGGTCTCTTAATATTTATCTTTCTGTGATTGACTAATTTCACTCAGCATAATGTCCTCTAGGCTCATCTATGTAATGAAATGTTTCGCAGATTAATGGTTGTTCTTTCATGTTACATAGTATTGTTTCCATTGTGTGTGTGTACCATAGTTTGTTTAGCCATTCATCCACTGACAGCAGTTAGTTTATTTCCATCTTTTTGCTGTTGGGAATAGTGCCACAATGAATATGGGTGTGTATTTATTTGTTCTAATCATAGCTCTTATTTCTGTAGGATATATACCAGTAGTGGGATTGCTGGATCATATGATATTTCTATTTTTAGCTGTTTAAGGAACTACCATACTTTTTTCCACAGTGGTTGTACTGTTTTATACTCAGTCCCACCAGCAGTGTGTGAAGGTTCCAGTCTCTCCACACCTTCACCAGTATTTGTGGTTTTCTGTTTTTTAACTTTGCTATTAATGCTGGGGTGAGATGATATCTCAGTTTTGATTTGCATCTCTCTAATGGGTGGCGTAGGAGCTCTGGTAGCATAGTGCCTAAGGCACTTGACTGCTAACCAGAAGGCTGGCGGTTCAAACCCACCAGCCACTCCTCGAAAGGAACGTTGGGCAATCTACTTCCGTAGTGATACTGCCTCGGCAACCCAAGGAGGACTTGCTATGAGTCAGGTCCCACTTGACGGCACATAACAACAACAACAACAACAACAACAGGTGGCGTAGTGCCTAAGGCATTTGACTGCTAACCAGAAGACTAGCGGTTCCAACTCATCAGCCAATCTTCAGAAGGAAGATGGGGCAATCCACTTCCATAGAGATAACGCCTCGGAAACCCAAGGAGAGGTTGCTATGAGTTAGAAACAACTCCACAGCAGTGAGTTTGGTTCTTTTTTTTGAATGGCTAATTGGCTAATAATCACCAGCATTTCTTCATGTGCTTGTTTGCCTGAATGTCTTCTTTGGTGAAGTGTCTGTTCATGTCTTCCACCTGCTTTTTAATGACATTATTTGTCGTTTTGTTGTTGTTGAGGTGTTGAAGTTTTCTATCAATTTCAGAGATTAAACCCTTGTCTGATATGTTGTTGCCAAAATCTTTTTCCCAGATTGTGGATGCTCTTTTCATTGTTTTGGTGAAATCTTTTGATGTGCCTATGTGTCTTATTTTGAGGAGGACTGGTTACCTATTTTATTTTCTTGTGTTTATGTGGTTTTATTTATGATTGATAGTGTAGTTATGCCATGTATTAGGGTCTGTATGTTTGCCTCTATTTTTTCTTTGATGATCTTTAGTTTTAGGTTTTACTTTTAGCTCTTTGATCCATCTTGAGTTTGTTTTTATATATGGTGTGAGATATGAGTCCTGTTTCATTTTGCTGCAGATATATATCCAGTTCTGCCAGCACCATTTGTTAAAGAGACTATCTCTTCCCTATTTAATGCGTTTCTGCTCTTTGTCAATGGATTTCTGCGCTTTGTCAATGATCAACTGACCACAGGTGGATTGATTTACATCTGGGTTCTCAATTCTGTTCCATTGGTTTATGCATGTCTCATTGTACCACCAGTTCCAGGTGTTTTGACTACCATGGCTGTGTAGTGGGTTTTGAGATCAGGAAGTGTGAGACCTCCTACTTTGTTCTTTTTCTTTATCTGGGGTCTCTTTCCTTTCCATATGAAATTAGTGATTAATTTTTCACCTCTTTAAAGAATGATGGTGGAATATTGATTAAAAAACTCACTGTCTTGGAGTCGATTCAACTCATAGCGACCCCTCCTTGGGTTTCCGAGGTGGGATCACTACAGAAGTAGATTGCCCAACTTTCCTTCCCGGGAGTGGCTGGTGGGTTTGAACTGCCAGCCTTCTGGTTAGCAGTCAAATACCTTAGGCAATACGCCACCAGAGCTCCCAGAATATAGACGGGATTGCATTATATCTGTGGATTTCTTTAGGTAGTTTAAACCACCAGCCTTTTAGATAGTAGCCGAGCATATCACCATTTGTGACACAAGGGCTTCTTATTCTTAATTCAGTTATAACAGCATTCAATGACTTTCTTAAATAAACCTATGCTAGTGGTGATATTTTCTTCAGAGGAGTGTGGAGATTTGAGTAAATAAATTTAAGGAGTAAAATACAGTGTCCAAATCTTCATATTCACAGATCAGTCGACAGTTTCCTCTATCCTTAGCTTAGAAAAGAATTTCATTACGGGGGGGGGGGCACAGAAAATAATTCTGTTGATTCCCCTAACCCTGCACTATCACCGCTATGCTAAATTTACTGCAGCTGAATGTTAAACACTCAGGTGTGAAATAGGAAGACCCTGGGCGCTGAACTGTTGGTGGTATATGTGTAGGTGCAGGCGTCTTTCTTTCCTCTTTCCCAGCTAACACCCTTCCCTTCTTCCTCCCTTCCTTGAGTCCCATTCTTTCCTACCTCGTCAAGGAGCAGGTGGGTCTCCCTTGTGACTTTTATTCTATCCCACAGGTGTGCGTGCGTTTGTGTGTGCGTGCATGGGTGCACGATCTGGTACACCACAGGACTGTCTCAGGTTTCATGAAAGCAACGCTGTAGTTTTCCTCTCAGAACAGGAATCAGGATTTCCTCCTGAACAACTTTCAAGATTGGTTCTTGTCATGCCTGTTAGAAACAGGAGCAGGTGGACACAGCCAGCAGTTATACTGATGATATTATACATGATGGAATGCTCAGAACATCGAGATGTCCCCTCATATTGGACTCATAGCCACCTTCCCTGTCACAACCTGGCGGGGCTGCCTTGTAGGGTTGGGAGACAACTGGAACTGGCAACAGCCCTTGAGGTTCACCAGATGTACTCTGCCCTGAGACAGCTCTCACCTCTCCAAAGATTCTAGTGTTGTGGAGCCATTCACCACTTACACCGGCCAGCGCCTTCCCCCAAATGTCAATACTGGGCTCCTTCTCCTCTGCCTTTAATCACTTCCTTTCTTCCTTGCCCTACCCAAAAATTATTTCTGATTTTTTTCTTTAGCTAAAAATTCTTTTCATGTTTGCTCTCCACAAAGACTTGAATGCCAACAATGAAACTGGATTTAAATGAGTGTTGTTTTTTGTGTGTGTTTTAATGGCAGGTTGTATGATAGTAGTGAAAAAGAGACCATTTAACTCTTGTGCTGTTTACTTGATCCATTTTAGTCCAAATCGCTTCCCCCATAAATGGCTGGGGTGTTTTCATTAAAAAAAAAAAAAACACCGGTATCTCTATGATCTGTGCCTCCAGCGCACCGGCCTCTCTGAATCCTTAAGGAATACCTTGTGAAAGGAGCCTCATCTTGTTTCTGATAGCACAGAGCCCTTGAACATCAACAACGCATTTCAGTTTTTGGAGGTTGAAATCCCTGTTCGAGGACCAGTTTGCCTACCTGCTGTATCAGACCTCTCTAAATTTTCTCCTAGTCCAGGAGAAAGGTTTTTAGATTTCACACTGATTTAACTGGCTCTACTAGGCTTAGGTTATTTTAGAAATGAAAGCATAGGCTGATCAGACATTATAAATAAATTCAATGACTGTCTAAGCCACAAGCTCTCGGAAATCTAAAAATTAAAGACAAAGGCAAAAATGCTTTTTCTTGAACAGAAATTTTACAATTTTTGGATAAAGTTATATTGTATTAAAATTAATTTTGAGGATGAAACAAGTCTCTCCTTCCATTTTCTCACCCTTTCAGTTCTTCAGATGCCATATCCTAAGTAATTTGGAGGTTTGTTTAGCCAAATAGCACAATTGTTTTTGTTGTTTGGATTTATTTTCTCCCTTGGTCTACTATTAATTAACACTCCCCTTTTCTTTGTCTTTTCCTGTAGTTTTGAGTATCCGAGGAGCCCAGGAAGAAGAGCCGACAGACCCCCAGCTGATGCGGCTGGACAACATGCTGTTAGCAGAAGGGGTCGCTGGCCCCGAGAAGGGCGGAGGATCTGCAGCTGCAGCCGCGGCGGCGGCAGCTTCCGGAGGAGCAGGTTCAGACAACTCAGTGGAGCATTCCGATTACAGAGCCAAACTCTCACAGATCAGACAAATCTACCACACAGAGCTGGAGAAATATGAGCAGGTAACCACGGCATGAGGGGCTCTCTGTACTTGGGTCCTTTTGGACAAAGTGGAGGAAATGAAAAATTTGTGGACTTGCATGACAATCTAGAGGAACCAGCCTTTCCCGAGCAATAGCATTTTTGTGTCCAGCATTTCCTGCCTAACCACAGAACCACTCTAAGGACTTGAGTCCAGATGGTCTCTGGTCTCAACTATCTAAAAACTGGGCAAACTGGGGATACCAGACAACCAAATAACCAACCAGTTGCCGTCAAGTCAACCCCCACTGATGAAAAAAGCATTATTATTATTATTATTATTATTACTATTTTCACATTGTAAATGATGATTTCAAGAATAATAGTCAATTTAAGAAATGCTCCAACAGCACTATGAACTCCTTGAATGTTTGCCTGTGGTCTATAGTGTAGGGTCTTGTCAATGTGATCAGTTATTAGCAGGGAGGAAAAAGTTTCTCTCTGGCTCTTGCTTGTTCCTTATTTAGGATTCCTAGTCTTTCAGGGATCCATGGGAAAGACTTGGACTTAAAGTCCCTTGCTTTACCCAGATTGTTCAATTGGGAAGCATACGTGTTCCTCTTTTAACTTAATATATGGTACATACTTCCCTCTACAGAAAGAGTAGAAAGGCTCAGGAGAAACCCACAAGTCAGATGAGCTTGGACTCCAATCCTGGCACTCCATGGACTGGATTGTCTGTGGGACCCATTGTTCTCCATACCCTACACTGAAAATTGGTGGTGTGTGGCAAACAGTAGTAGACTTGGGTCAAAGAGATCACAGTGCCATGAAAACCAAATAAAGGACAAGATAGGTCTTTTGTATTATAAAACCAAAACCCAACCCACTGTCATCAAGTCAGTTCCAACTAATAGCAACCCTATAAGACAGAGTAGAACTGCCCTATAAAGTTCTAAGGCTGTAAATATTTATAGAAACAGATTGCCTCATTTTTCTCCTATGGAACAGGTGGTAGGTCTGAACTACTGGCCTTTTGGTTGACAGCCAAATGCTTTAGCCACCATACCAGCAGAACTCCTTTTATGTTGTAAAGCAGCATATAAATAATAAGAAGGCACTGATATTCAGTGGTAGAATTCTTACCTTCATGTGGGAGACCCATGTTCACTTCCTAGCCAATGCACCTCAACCAGAGCCATGACCCATCTGTCAGTGGAGGCTTCCATGGTGCTGTGATGCTGAACAGGTTTCTGTGGAACTTCCAGAAGAAGAAAGGCCTAGCCATCTGCTTCTCAAAAAAAAAAAAAAATCAGCCATGAAAATTCTATATGGATCACAACAGTCTGACCTTGTTGTACACGGGGTCACCATGAGTTGGGGGCCAATATGATGGCAGCTAACAACAAAATATAAATGTAAAATATTCTTACTGTAGTACCTAAGGCACTTGACTGCTAACCAGAAGGCTGGTGGTTCAAACCCACCAGCCACTCCTCGGAAGGAAGGTTGGGCAATCTACTTCCATAGTGATACTGCCTCGGAAACCCAAGGAGGGGTTGCTATGAGTCGGATCCAACTCGATGGCACATAAAAACAACAAGGAGCCTTGGTGGTAAAGTAGTTATTTAGTTATTGCATTCAGCTGCTAACCAGAAGGTTAGCAGTTTGAACCCACCAGTTGCTCCACAGGAAAAAACATGAGACAATCTTCCATAAAGATTTACAGCCTTGGAAACCCTGTGGGGCAGTTCTACACTGTCCTATATGGTTGCTATGAGTTGGAATCAACTTGATGGCCATGGGTTTGATTTGGTTATTCTTACTATGTAATAGAGCTCCTCTCTAGTAAAGATGCTCCCCCTGAAACACACACACATGAATTTTTATATTAATATCATTTCTTTGGGGAAGTATGAAAATACTACTTTATTAGGAGTCCCGCAATATCGGTATTTCCTTCTCTTTCAGTTAGCTGAAATACAAATATGTATGTTTTCACCATGATTCTGAAGAAGTTCTAAAGTTAACTTCCTTTCATGGAATTGTTAGGTTTCTGAGCTTCTTTCCTCTTCCTTTTTTTGAGACCCATGAAAGAAGAGAGGAGAAAATTTAAAACGTAAAAGACCCTCTGCAGTCTACTCATGACTGCTTAGGTAGAAGGCAAATGCAAACTTAATAGAAAATTTAAATTTTAAAATAGAAATAGACGTTTTAAAATTTAAAGTGCAGAAAGTTCTATTATTGCACTCCATCTACTTTGAAATGGATTTTTACAAAATTCCCTCCTTTATGAAGAAGAGAAAATTGCTATTAAGTGTGAAGTCAAGTGTGGTGAAATTTTAGCCGTCAGATAAGGTGTAGGGTGTGTTCAAGGGGAAGAATTTAAAAGTAAGCTTGTGGTAAGAACCCGTGAGTCCTTCACCTTCCTGTGAAAGAAGTGTTCTTGCCCCAGTGTTGGCTAATGTAGATGTTTCCCCGTATCCCTGGAGATGCTGATCTCAAGTAGTTGACTGATCCATGGCAGTTCCCTCCACCTGGGCCATCATGTTAGCAGTGGAGTCTGCCCTCACCTAATGGGATAGCGTGGGAAAAGAGGTGAGGGCGTTTCCTACAGAGACTCCTGGCTGGCCTCTTGGGTTCTTCCTACTCAGTGTTCTTCCTATTTAACCTTAGCCTTAATCTCTGGCTTAGAAACCTCCTTAGACTTGTCATCCAGACTAATTAATGACAAACTCTATGGGCATAAGGAGAGCCCAGTGTGAGTTCTCCCACTAGACCCATAATAGAATGAACAATAGGCAAGAAGGTGTTGAAAACTGGCTTTATTCTTAGATTGGATTGCCGGCAACGTAGATGAACCAATTGTTTTCTTGATTTACTGAGTGAAGTAAAAGGCTTCTTGATTTAAAATCCCTTGTCACTCTCCCATCCGTACCCAAAATGAGTAGAAAGTCGACAGCAATACTCCATTTCAGTAGCATGTTGCTATTTACCAAACACTTTGCCCACATAATTGCACTTGACCCTCAAGGCAATTTTGTGGTTGGCTACCCAGGACAAGTACTGTCATCATCTCCATTTTGAAGCAGGTGAGGAAATGGAGGTCAGAGAGGTTAAGTGATGTATCTGAGTTCACACATCCAACAGGGAGCTTGCCCTAGAATTCAGTTTTTGACTCTAAGCCCATGGGCTCTAATTGGAATAATGCCTGACTCTACATACAAGGAAGGCATGGAGTTCTGTAGACTGTGAGTTAAACAGCTCATCTTCTCTGTTAGTTCCCTGGACTAGATTGCTGGTTCCTAAGAGAGGCAAGTGATAAAAATATTCTTCAGAAACTTCTCATGGCTACCTACTCTAAGTAATAAAGATGTTGGGAATTGCAAACTCAAAGAAAGCAATTCTCACTACAGAGCAAATTATGTAAGTATAGTAGTATTTATTATTTTTTTGAAACTACAAAACTAATGATTTCCATATATAGAGATACAGATATATGGACATTTGCAGGGTAAGACACTGAATAGACCCTAACACATTGTGGGTGCTTAATAATTTATTAATATTACTAGTTGTATTGTTAATTATAGTAAATAGCAGATTGCAGGCAAATTATGCTATTAACCTTCTAGCTAGTGTGTCTAAGAGATAGATCTTTTTTTCATTTTTCTGTAACAGTTCTGCATGGGAGTGTTTTTAAAATTAGGAAACCTCAGTACAGTAAAATTGTCACTCTCTTTCAGTAATACCTATATGAAATTATAAAATCCATAATTTAATGGTTGATCCCATTGCTTTTGGTTTATTTTCTTTTGCATTTGGTATGGTGGTGGCAGCTAACCCCAAAAGTGGTTTCACAGTAGTTAGAGATCATAGCCCTCCCCACCCTGACCCCTCAAAAAAAAAAAAAAATCCTGCTTGAACCATTGTTTCTTCTTGAGGTTATTACATAAAGAAGGGTTCTAGAGACTTTTCATTAGAAAGAAAATTATTTTATTCATTACATGGCATTGATAAAACGTCTTTTCAGCAGTTCATGTTGATAGCCAAAGTATTTAAGAACTGGCATATTCTATTCAATCAAACCATGATGTCAGAAACCTGAATTTTATTCTAATGCTATTTTTGAAAAAATCACGCTCTTGTAGCTTTTCAGGGTTCAGCTTTTGTAATAGTGCTGTCAGGGTAGTGAAGGGGCTAGAGCTCTAAATCTAAAGTGGAGTGGGCTAGGTAAGTTCACAGCTAAGAAAACCCTATGATCCCTATTACTTTTGTTGATGAGGTTGCCAGCCATATCCCGTCTGAAGAAGTAAAGGAAGAAGGTGGGCTGTAAAGAGTACAAGATGTCTAAGACCTTAATTTCTAAGAGGAATTCTCTTTAGTCTAATGCTTCCAGGAACATTAGACTTGCCAGATACCTGGTAGGTTTCTTTACAGAAATGCTTCAGCCCGACAGAGACAGCTTGAGGGTTAGTGCTAGGAAAAATTACTCTTTATTAATAGTCTGCATCAGGCGTCCCTGCCACAGAAACTTTCCACCTGTGAGGATTCTATTTCATTCAATGGTTGTAGTCTGAAGTATTCATGTTACTGGTGCCTTGTGAACACCTGACCTCATAGGGCAGCATCTGAAGCTGCCTAGGTCAGGGGGCTCAGGAGGAGGCAAGGGTAGTTCAAGTTCTGGAACGGACTGGATCCTTATGTTCTGTCCATTTCAAGTGGACTTGGAACTCTTCTCTGCTCTCCGCTGTGTATTCCTGAACAGCTGTTCAGCAGCTGCTTCGCTCCACCTCAGCAGTGGGTGAAATGACTCCTCTGTCTGTTTATGGCAGAGCAGGAAGGGTCCTGGGATAAAATGCCCTGAATAAACATCAGATATTGTGAGTATTTTTATTCACCGTAATGAAGCACATTATTATTAGCCAAGAACTGTGGCTTCTCAGCTGAGAGCGGGTGTGCTTGACAATATCGCCTCACATCCAGCCCCTCCTCCCTTTGAGTCCCCAAGAAGTGGGGGAGGCTGCAGCCCAGCAGGGCGCTGCTTTTCCCCAGAAAGAGGGTTGGGATGCCTGCTATGTGCCTAACACTCTACGCCCTACCCCGTGGCCTCATAGAATCCTAGCCAACTTGCTGCCAGGTTTCTTTCCCTCCTCTTTGTTGTAGAGGTAGGGGGCTGGAGTTGAGGAGGGAAGAAGCCTGTAATACATATTTTGTGTTTACAGAGCACTTTTCTCCAAGGAGAGCAAAATGCTCTGTGCACCTGATCTCATTTGTCTCCAGCATATGCCTGCAGAGTAGAAAGGAGGTAGTTATTACCACCTTTGATTTACTAAGAAGGAAACTGAGGCTTGGAGAAGCTGACTCAATCGTGATAATGTCATGAATTTTAAAATATCTATATTATGAAAAAGGAACTCTGGTGGCACAGTGGTTAAAGCATTTGGCTGCTAACCAAAAGGTTGATGGTCCAAACCCACCAGCTGCTCTGCAGTAGAAAGATGAAGCAGTCCACTTCTGTAAAGATCTAAGCCTTGGAATATGTATGGGGCAGTTCTACTCTGTCCTATAGGGTCACTATTAGTCAGAATTGACTGAATGACAGTGGTGGGTATATTATGAAGAGGTAATAATGATAAATGTTTTCATGGCCATGCACATGTATAGTCATGCATTTAACCCTAACCACAACACTATGAGATGGGTACTGTCATGTCATGAGGAAAAGAAGGCACAGAGATGGTAAGTAACCATCTCCCCAGAGGTCCCACTGCAAAATAAATCCTCAAGGCAGGATCTGAACCCAAGCAGTCTCTGCTCTTAACCAGCTCACTTGCTATTTTCTTGGGAGTGACTTACTGGATCCTCTTGTCACTGCCTGGGAACATGGTTACTAGTGGCCTTTGCTAAAGGACTGTTGTCGTTGTTGGGTGCTGTGGTGTTGATTCTGACTCATAGTGACCCATGTGACAGAGTAGTACTGCCCCATTGGGTTTTCTGGGCTGTAATCCTTATGGGAAGACATCATCAAATCTTTTTCCCATGGAGCCACAGGTGGGTTTGAACCACCAACCTTGTAGCTAGAAGCCAAGTGCATAACCATTGTGCCATCAGGGTTCCTTTGCTAAAGGATAAAGAATAATTCAAACTATTCTCAGAAGAATAAGTGTGAGGCATTAGTAGTTCATTGGTATAATTCTTCCCATCCATGTGGGAGACTCAGATTTGATTCTCAGCCAGTGCACCTCAAGTGCAGTTTCCACTGATAGGTTTCATTGGAGCTTCCAGACTCGAATAGACCAGGAAGAAAGGCCTGGTGCAAAATGAAAATACTCACAATACCTGATGATTATTCAGTGCATTCTGAAAATCAGCCACTGAAACCCTATGGATTCCAGTGATCCCAGCCACAACAGATCACAGGGATGGTGTAGGACCAGGCAGTGTTGTGTTCTGTTGCACACCGGGTTACCATGAGTCAGGAGCTGGATGAATGGCAGCTAACAACAGATGAATAAAGAGTAGTGACGGGATCTGCCCAGTGCTCATGGAAGCAGGTTCAAAAGCCATTCCTCTCAACCTTAGTACAGATACTACTTGTGTACCTTTAACTGAGCAGTCTCAAAGAATTTCTTAAGAGAAACAAACAGTAGATGTGTGTTACTGTTATTGTTACTGTGTTATTGACAAATCTGTAAAAACAATGACAATGCATTGTTTCCAATTTAAATCAGAATCCTTAGAATCCTTGGCTCTTCAAACCTCAAAGCATCATCTTGCCTTTTTCCGTCACAAATCTAATACAGTTTTACAACATTGTTGCAAGTTTATCTGTGAGTACATACTTCATTGAATGTCCCACCAAGGAAATCCTGGCTCTGGGAAAGGAAAGAAGCCTCTGGGCTGGAATATGAAGTGTTCAAGTCTTGACTCTGTGGCTTCTGATTTGCTGTGTGCCTTTGGGAAAGTCCTTCCATCTCTCTGGCCACAGTTTTGCCGACTGAAAAATAAGAAGGTGGGACACTTGATCTCCAATTTCACTTCTCATGTGGAAGGCATGTTGATTTATAATCTCAGAATTTCCATGAATGCACTAAATAATGTTTTGATGCTGTTTCTATAAGGTCCCTGGGGATGGATTTCCTTTATGTTGCAGACACAGTGGCTTTTCAGGAAGCTGGCATCAGAGGAAGTTCTTATATTAAAGCTAGAAGTAGAAATTGATTCATGAGGAATCTCTTAGACGAGTTACCAAGGCTTTTAATTCCATGATTCCACTTGAACACTTTTGGCTATTCATTCCAAAACTGAGTATTTGAAAGCTCTCCTCCATCAAGATAATGGACAATGCAGAACACTAATTCTATATTTGACCCCAAACTTTCTTTGGCTGTTGACATTGAAGACCAGTTGCCATTGAGTTGATTCTTACTCATGGCGACCCCATGGTATCAGAGTCACACTCCATAGGCTTTTCAGTGGCTGATTTTTCAGAACTAGATTGCCAGGCCTTTCTTCCATGGTGCCTCTGGGTGGACTCGAGCCTCCAGTCTGTCAGTTAGCAGCTAAGCATGTTAGCTGTTTGCACCACCCAGGGATAAGGGTGGCGCAATGGATTTTATACCAGGATTCATGTTCTTGCCTTTCACTCAGTAAAATCATAGAAAAGAAATAATTAAGAAAAAGATATGATTAAGAATTTCCTTTTCCCTTAAAGAATTCTACATCAGGCCAAAACTTAGATACACAGGCACGGAAAGGGATTTTCAGGCAGTCATTTATTCTATCCTTCTAATTTTACAAAATTCCACCAAGTATTCTGGTTTTCATTTTTGCAAAAGTCCCTAGCGTTCATGAGCATGGACACACAGACACACACACACACAGCCTTATTTCACAGACCTGGTAATATGCAGAGGCTCAGACTCCCAACATCTCCTGGTGTTTATTGTCCTGCCATTCCAGGCATGCAATGAGTTCACCACCCATGTGATGAATCTCCTGCGAGAGCAAAGCCGGACCAGGCCCATCTCCCCAAAGGAGATCGAGCGGATGGTCAGTATCATCCACCGCAAGTTCAGCTCCATCCAGATGCAACTCAAGCAGAGCACGTGTGAGGCTGTCATGATCCTGCGTTCCCGGTTCCTGGATGCACGGTGAGTCATGATGGTCTGCCCTGCCCTGCCCTGGAGAGACCCACTCACTGGGCTTGACTGGGCTTGGGATCTTTAGGCTGGTCCTCAGTCAAGCCATTAGTTAATCCTGTTAAATCTAAGCCCAATGAAAGCCTATGGAAGGTTCTTAGATTGGGTCAAAGAGGGCTGCAAGACAAGATGGGCCTTTGGTTTCATATAGCATCAGGAAAGTGAGTGATTCCTGATTGGACAGGATGATCTTTATTGCAACTCTTCTCACTCTGGATGAGCAGCAAAGACAGCATGGCTACAGTGAAGGAAATAGCAGGATTAAAGCACTAGGCACCTCCTTTATCAGTGCATCTTGTAACTATGGGCCCTTAGCTGTCTTACTTGAATACGTAGTGACACTTTCTCCAAAAAACACTGTTCAGTGTTGGACAGGTCAGATCTTTTCCATTCTATATATAGGCAGAAAGTGTTCTCAGTTCAGTTTGACAAATATTTATAAATAGATTACCATGTGTCAGACTCTGGGCTAAGTTTTAGGAGTGCTAACATGAATGAGACATGGTGCATTGAAGTATCTGGGGGCTTGTCTGATATAGGCCACATTTTCCATTCAGGGTTGGGTTGATCTTTTCTATCTGGCATTGCTGCTCATGACATGACTTGTACGTTCAAAGCATTCATTTGAAGAAATCATGGGTAGAAAAGTCTTTTAAACAAACAAACAAACAAGAAAAGCTGAGATTAGAAAGTAAACAGTTCTTGGTTACCCTGCTCTATCTAGCCCAGTGGATTTAGGCAAATCCCTTTGATTCCTTTGTTCTATTTTTCAGCCTGTACCACAGTAATAGTCATATCTTTTATCTCCTCCAGAAAAGTTTATTGATAATTGATCTAGCAAATATCTTTTGGGAGCATGGTTATCTTTTGTGATCTACAGTTCACTATAAATTAGTTTTTAAAGATTTTTAAATGCAGGTGTCATAATTCATTATATCAACTCCTAAAAATAATCCCAATTCAAGATTTTTATTCTCAGAATGTTAGCTGTATCAGGGGTTAGTATACCATGTCCAGACCCATGATTTTGTCTTTTTTTCAATTGCACAGAATGATTGGCTGATCTGCTTGAATTGTTTCACCTCTGAAATCATGGACTGGCATTCAGTTCTCTTACCCTTGTTTTTCTCTCTCTTTGCAAATATGGCCTTCATAGTCTGTAGACTGCTTTAAAACTCCCTGGCATCTTCTCCTAAAGTCCCTTTCATGCTGTGTGTTTGGGTCATATGGAATATGAACTAAGAATGCCAGCTAGTGAAATACATCTCTGGGCCAGTAGAATTCCTTATAATAGGTCAAACAAAAATAAGAATAAAGATAGCTTTTCCCACTGTGAGTCAGAATCAACTCAAGCCAGAGAATTTCCCAAGCGGGGATAGTGATGGACTAGGGGAAGGCAGAGTCACCCCCTGTGCCTCTCCCTTGCCTCACGGCCTGATGCCAGCCGGGCTGCTTCAATGCAGGCCATTCCATACGATGCCAAGCCCAAGTGACTGGTGGCCTCTGTCTGGGGCCTCCCCTGTGCCGCAGCCGCCACCACTCTGCATGTGTTTCTTACATCCCCATGGCAACTCTCCTAGTTAAAATGCTGGAGTTGGTATTTATGTTGGCAGATCCTGAAAAAAAGAAAAGTTGGGCCCAGACTGCTTTCTTTTCGAGAAAGAAATAGGGGAGGAGGGAGGAGCAGAATCATTGTCTGGTCAGATTTCTTCTCGCAGTAACTCTGCTGTGCCTAGTTGAAGGTCAGATTCTAAAAGACACAAAACAAGCCAAGCTTTGTACACATTTCCTTTCGTTTCCACCAGCCATTGCCTAGATTGTTCCCATTGGCACCAGAAGGACAGTCACTTTTAGACAAGGTCTCTTTCCTGCTTTGGTTGCCACCTTTGAATCATTGCCTCTCAGCCAAGATTCAAAACTAAAACAACTAAGCTATTGTCATTCTTTCTGTTATTTTAGTTTGGGGAATATTTAGTACTACTGAAAGACCATAACCCCAAGTGTCAGCCCAAAGCTGAGCAAATGGCTTTCCCAGCTCACAAATAAATGTTTGTCCAGACCTCCTGATTTGTGGCTTTTATGTCATTGTCTCCAGAGCCACGAGCTATAATTGGGAGAGCTAGCTAAACAAACCTTGGTAAGAAAGATATACTTACTGTTGATATTCACGGTCTGCTCTAAACCATGCATCTGATAAACGTCGCTTCTTCAAAAATTCATGGAAGACAAATGAAATCTAAGGGGGATTTTATTTAGTACCAGAATTAGTTTTTGTAATGTAATGTGTATATCTCGGAAGGAAGGTTGGGCAATCCTACTTCCGTAGTGATACTGCCTCGGAAACCCAAGGAGGGGTTGCTATGAGTCGGGGCCGACTTGACGGCACATAACAACAACAACAACAATGTGTATATAGAATTGTTGATTGCTGTATAATAGACTACCACAAATGAGCAGCTTACAACAACACAAAGGTATTATCTCACAGTTTCTATGGGTCCAGAGTCTGGGCTCTGTATGACTGGTCCATGGCTCTAGTCTCACAAGGCAGAGATCAAGGTTTTGGCTGAGGCTGTGATTGCAACTGAGGCTCAGGTTCCCTTCCAACCCTAATCAAGTTGTTGGCAGAATTCAGTTCCTTGTTTTGTGGGTATAGGAATGAGGTTCTCAGTGTCTAGAGGCTGCCCTTCCCCTTAGGCAGTTTACAGTGTGACTTTTGGCTTTCTCCCTGGAGGTTCATGAGAGAATCTCTTGATATGAAGGCTTTAATCTAATCTCCCTTTTGATTAACATAAAGCCAGCTGATCAGTTACCTGATCACAGGAGTGATATCATATTTACAGGTCCTGCCCACACTCAAAGGAGACAGCAGATCATACAGGACTTGTACATCAGAAGGTGACACTCTTACAGGCCATCAAGCACTTGGCCCAGCTTTGTCCCAATCAAAGCTTTTTGTTGCTTACGTTGATTTAACTGTGCCTGAAAAGTTTTACTTTAAAAAATCCCATTCATTCATTCAACATTTATCATCTCCTGTTATGAAATAAGCATTTTGCTGTAAAACTTTGTAAGTGTATTGCTGACACTATAAATATATTTTTCTTAATTGAAAGAGAGAGCAATAGTTTATTAAGACTTTAAATGATGTTCAGAAAGAACCGTTCCCTGGAGAAGGATATCATGCTTGGTAAAGTAGAGGGTCAGCAAAAAAGGGGAAGACTCCCAAGGAGATGGATTGACACAGTGGCTGCAACGATGGGCTCAGGTGTAGCAAGGATTATGAGGCTGGCACAGGACCGGGCAGTGTTTTGTTCTGTTCTACATAGGGTCACTATGAGTTGGAACCAGCTCTATGGCACCTAACAATAACAAATGATTTTCAAGGAATAATTTCAACTCATTTTCCTCTAATGTTTTCCTGGAGATAGTAATAAGAACATAAACAGATGATTAGAAGCACACCTCTTCACTGGGCCCTGAGAGAGGGGATCACGTAAAATGAATTAGCAAAGATAAAGACAGAAAGCAAGAAGAAGGGACATCCTGGGATGTTAGGTCTCATCAGATTGGCATGAATTCAGATTTACTTATTTATGCAGCTGAGCTGTTACTATCTGCCAGATCTTCACTTTACCACTGGAATAACAAAAATGAAAGAAAAAAAATGTATGTGTGTGTATAAAAGATATAATGTGGGTCCTATATTTTATGAGCTCATCATATTCGGGGGGAACGTCAGTGCTGTCAAGCTGATTAGGCCTCATAGCAACCCTATAGGACAGAGTTGAACTGCCCCATCAGGTTTCCAAGGCTGTAAATTGTGTCCCACATCTTTCTCCCATGGAGCGGCTGCTGGGTTGGAGTGGCTGGGGACTCAAGCCACTCAACTTTTGGTTAGCAGGCAAGCACTGTAACCACTATGCCACCGAATCTCCTTCTCATCATCTTAGCTGGGACAAAACAGACACTGTTACAATTAAACATAAAACTGTGGGCTGTCCAGAAGAACTGGTTGGTATCTGGCTACCACTACCAGCCATTCTAATCAGGGCCACAGTAGATGGACCCTGATAGAATGGGAGAAAAATATGGAACAGAATCTAAAATTCTGAAGGAGAAAAAACAGGCCTATAGGACTGATTGAGAGTGGAGAACGCCAAGACTATTACCCTGAAATACTCTTCAAACCTTATGTCAGGAGTAGCGACTGGAATCTTAAAAGCTAGCAAGCTGCCATCTAGAGGCAACAATGGGTCTCTCCTAGTCCAGAGCAAAGAAGAAATGAAGAAAACCAAAATTCAGGGAAACAACTAGTCCTAGCAACTGGTACACCATCCGATCTGCAGCCTATACAACTGTGAGACCAGAAGAACTAGATGGTGCCCGGCTACTGCTGTCATCCACTTGGAAGGGGATCTATCTATGTAGGAGATCCTTGATAGAGAGGGAGAACAATGTAGAACAAAACTCAAAATCATTTGGAGGGGAAAAAAAAGGGGCGTGACCAGGTTTGCTGGTCCAATAGAGCCTGGTGGAACCACTGAGGCTATGGCCCCTAGCTGCCCTTCAGGTCTGGAGTTGAACCCACACCTGTGGTTTCCAGCCAAACAAAATACAGGCATATGAGTTAAACATTTACCTCAAGTAGATACACTCCTTGGAGAGAACAGTCATGGGAGAAAGAAGGGCTGCATATGCACAGGGAGACAGCTTAGGGGGCAGGAGTGTATGGAGGGATGCACACTGGGAAGAGGTAACTATGGGGAGGAAGTGGGAGGGGAGCTGTTGCATTGTGGTAAACTGTGGTCAATGACATGAAACAAAGTATATGTGAACTGCTGTATGGAAAGTGAATTTGCTCTGTAAATCTTCACCCAAATCACAAAAAAAAAAAAAAAAAAACCAACCTTGTGCCAGAATTAATCCCTGTGAGCACCTTATAGCTAAAT